GTCTTCGGGAGGATCAGGGCTCGGAAAAATGTCGAATTGCTTGGTTCTGGTCCTCTGGCTTTTGGGTCTGGTCCTGTGGAACAAGTCCTGATTGATAGCTCATAACCGAGCAACGGTCCAAGATGAATCAAGGAAGAAACCGGAACAAGTCATGATTGATAGCTCAGAACCGAGCAACGGTCCAAGATGGATCAAGGAAGAAACCGGAACAAGTCATGATTGAAGTGATAGCTCAGAACCGAGCAACCGTCCAAGATGGATCAAGGAAGAAACCGGAACAAGTCATGATTGATAGCTCAGAACCGAAAGACGTCATGTTGACGGACTGTTTGTATAGAATCTGGCTCAAAACGCAGCCGAGGAAAAAAACCTTAAACTCGTTCCCCTCTGTTAATGACATGATGCTGTCTTCGTTAATGTGCAAGAGGGGTTTGCTACATAAAGAGTGCCGCTGAAGTTGCTATCCTGGTTTTTATACCCTAAAGGCCCTAAAGCGCCCTTAACCCCTGAGCCTGGTGTGCGATTCCGGAGCATTTTGCTGAAGCTTTTAAATTTTGGTTTTCGACATGTCCTTTATCGCCGTCTTCCAATATACGCATGGCACGCGTTCTGGCGAATACTTGTATCTGCACTGGCCCTCCATGAATGTGAGCTTCTTCCGAATCACACGTGTCTCGGCAGCTATTGTTATCAATTTGTTCGTGCTTCCTCCAAACCATACATGCAGAAAGAGATATTATGTATGTAATATAACTACATCTTACATCATCTCAGGTCGCGGCTACCCAGCGTTTGAAAACGACTGTGGACGATGGTGGATCACAGGGGAACAGAGCTTCAGGTTGCTCTTTCGATGTTGCAGTGCGGCTGTTTGGAGAGATGTCATGTGGAGTTTCGATGCAGACACGGGCTGTTACTTGGCTTGTGTATGTTTTTTGGTTTACATTGGGATCTTCTTGTGCCAAATTTGTATGGAGATCTTAGTCTATATTATATATATAAAATATGTAATCCTTTTGGTCGTATACAATAATGCATGTGGACAGGCTGGCGAGATGATACGGTGCGATCTGCCCGCTATCGTGGCTACTTTATTGTGCACGGCAATGTTGCTTGGTTTGGATGTGATTTGAAATAAATTTAAGCTTTGATTGGGTGGTCTAGTTGGGTGGTTTATATCAGATTCTATGTGTGCACAAACAATGTAAGCATATAGCATGCAGCCTCTGTAAGAAGTTTTGTAAAAATATTATATGTGACCTCACTGACCTCACATTAAAGCAGAACAATCGAATACACTAATCTACAGTCTATATATACTGCGATGGATGTATTATGAATAAATATGCACCATGATACCACATGCATGTGAATGTGTATATAATATTCAAAAATTAATAGTAATAATATCTAGAAGCACCATGTGCATAAACACAATATCTCGGCAGAACAAGGCCCTGGATGATGGCTACGATGCCCCGGAAGATGGCCGAACCCCCCACACGTGGGTCGAAGATGAGGTGCCTCTTCACATAAACCTTTTATAATATATATATATATATATATATATATATAATCTGGGTCTCTATTAATAATTGTATACAGTACATGCACACAGTTAGAGTAGTTGAGTTGGACAGAATGCAGGACCGTCCTGTACAGAACCGACCTTTCGATGCCCTGGAGTATGACTACACCTTTGTGGATGATGCCACCAGTGTCAGTGCCGAGGTGCTTTGATGGTATCCAGTATGTATAATAATAATATGTGCACTTATTTGATGTGCGGAATCGTGTGCATGCAGGTGGGCTCCGAAGAAGATTTGGAAGATTTCGGTGACGGCTATATTTGGGTCGACGAGATGGAATGATGTGCAACACATATTTAAAATATGTACAGAATCGCTTGCCTGACGGCTTCAAGAGCTGCAAATGGCATGCTTATGTGCTGTCTGAGCACGCCTTTAGTCACTAGTCTGTCTATATAGTCTCTAGTCTAGTCTAGGTCTTGGTCTATTAGTTAGTGAGTCTATCTTATCTCTAAGATTATCTCTATGTCATGTCAGTCTTGTCTCTGACTCATCTGTTCACCATGAAACTATGTCCCTTGTCTCTGTCACTGTCTATGTCTATGTCACATGTCTATGTCTATGTCTCTATGACTATCTATGAATCGACTCTGCCTAGACTCGACTGTCGACTCTAATGCTGTATGTGGCTCGCTTGGGTGCGGAGTAGAAAGAAGCCACTGTGTTTGCTGCTTCTGAACATCATTCAGTTTTCTGTAGTCAGAAGCTTTTTCCTGATGCAGGTGCAGCTTTTTAGATCAAGCCGAAGGAATCGGCTGCGATGGGAAAACATACTAGCTGCTGTGGAACCGACTCCAGCAATGATGATGACGGAAAGCCTCGTGAGTTTAGCAGCAGCGATGCCGTGAAGATGGTCGCAGCTGGGAAAATTTCAATTCGAAGGTTAATCAAGGCCATTCCGGTACTGGAAGGATCCGTCTCCAGGTCGCAGGAAGATAGCTTCAGAAGCATTTAAGTGTGTGCTATCGTGGTTTCATGTTTGTATATAAGGCATGGAAGTCAGCACGAAAGCTCGCCCGTCGTCTCCGCAGAGTTGTACGCTTTTTGCAAGAGAAGGGCCTGGTGAAGAAAGATGCTGATGTGAAAGGCAAGTAGTTTTCAAGCGAAACCACAGCCAAAGGGAACGGGCTTAGCCAGCGAGACAACTGATGGAATATGATGCTGTTTCAAATGAAAAGAGTAGTGTGCATTCCTGCAGATGCATTAGAAACTGATCCTGTCCCAGTGCTTGCCTGGCAAACGAGCAGTTCTTGTGATTGTGACGAGGCTTCTTGGCTCTCGAAGACATGTCGTGTTGATGCTTTCTGATTTCTTCAGATTCAGTTATCGGCTAGGAGAACTCGGGTATATTCGGTCTAGGCCTAGGCTTTAGGTTTTTGGGCTGTCGCAGTTTTGAGCGTTGGGGCCAGGCGTCTTAATAAGATTGGGCGGCTCTATGTGACTGTGAGGTTTGAGTTTGGGGTTCAGGGTTTTCCGTATATGGATCTGGGTGCTGCCGTGCGCAAAGCGTGCAGCAATGCGGCTTCCGAGCCCCCTAGTGCTGGAGTACGGTTGCAAGCGAAGCTGCGAACTGGGGTTGCTGGGTTTTCCTGGGAGAACCTGCAGCGAGCACGTGTTCGGAACCTGGCTTGATTGTGAATTCTGTAGTTCAATTTTGCTATTGGGTAACCTTCGCTTGTTTTCAACTTTCCATCCACACTTCAACTAGAGGAGCCAGCAGAAGGAGCCTGTGAAGAAAACGATTCAGAAACGGCGGTACAACAACTCGAGTCGAGCTGCAAAAGCTTCTCCCGTCCCGAAGATGAAGTAGCTTAGTTGATTTTGGCAATCTGAAGACAGCCTACTAACATGAATGTTTGTTTCGATGCTTTCCCACATGATATATTCGGGAGCCCTTAGGCCCTAAGCCGCACTAAACCCTGAACCCTAGACTTAGCCAGCACCATGGATTGATCAAGCGGTTGCTGCCACTCTGTTTTCCGCTTCCCAGGCGACGTCCGGAGCGAGAACGTCTCAACGCCATCCTGGCCTGCAACCAATGCAACTGCACACGCAAGAGCTGCTTCAAGAGACTTCGGGCACAGAGAAAGGGGTTGCTGGAGTTCTGTAATGCTTTCCGGACTTTGGGGAAGGTCGAGCAGGATGCCTTCGTGCCCAGGCTTGCAATGATATATCGGAACCCGAATTGTGTGCGGATGTAGGAAACTTGGGAAACATATGTCATACTTATCAATCTGAGTTGCTCGCACTAAGATCTATGACAGCTTTGTCGGGAGCGACGGTGCAGACACTCCCAAACGATCCTACGACCTGCTCGGGGTTACAGTCGGTCGGCCCTGCTTGTGCGCATCTCTGGGGATTGGAAACGGACGACTGCACAAAGCCGCTTCAGGTCTAGTGGACAGTCGTTTTGCTTGCAATGTGCCTCTGCATCGTGCAGAGAAGAAGGCGAGAAGTGTGGATCAATTCTTACTTCATCTACATGGTACCGTTGCAGAGCTTTTACCTACAGGGCCTTGGCCTCAAGAAGTACTCTTCACTATGAATATGCAGCAGAAACTTCGACAACATAATACGTAATGCTTCGGGGTTCTGTTCAGGTTTCGCATGGCAAACCAAGCTCACCGATCCGGCTCCAGCAAGGATGTGCCTGTGGAGCACGATGCTGATGACTTGGCCCTTCCGGGCGAGGCTCTTGAAGACGACGAGAATCTCAGGCTGGAGGTCAACATTGACCGGGAAACTTGGAATCGGTGGCTAGGTTGGAGTTCGTGTTTTTGGATTGGTGTGCTGAGAACTAGAATGAAAAGCCGTACGATTAGCTCCGATGCACTTCTGAGTCGCTGTCACTTTAAATCTGGATGGCTGTCCTTTCTGTTGTTGTGGCCCAGGCACATCACTACGAACCACGGGTTCAACATCCAGAAGCTCCCACGCCGCTATCTTCCACCAGGCACCATAATGGATCTCTACCGTCACTACTGTGCGACCCAGCCTACTGATCATGCCTCGCCCCTTGAAGCATTAGCTGCATTTGTACTCAGATTGCACATTCAATAGGATAGGGGTGTGCACAGAAAATCTCGGTACTTCCAAGGTATACAGTGTTCAAGCTTCGCTACCAAAAGAAGTGGAAAGCTTGCTTGCCCTTCCGAGCACAATCTGAATTCGCTGAATGCAACCAGTGCTTCGATCTGAAGCAGGAAATCAAGGCCGAGAAGGCCAGCAATGTGTTCCTTCTCCGGTTTTGTAATTACTTCACAGCCGGAATCGTTGATTCCCAAGGATCTTTGCAAGAAGTTCGCCCTGATTCGCGATTACAAAGAGCACTTGCGGGCGGTTGGTTTCGATCGTGAGCTCGAGCAACATTTGGAAGGATTGGACCCGCACAACAGCGATGCGCCTATTTTAATGTTGCAATTCGATGGGATGGATCAAGCGAAGTGGTCATTGCCAAGATACCCCGAAAATCGAGGATCCAAGACCCTACAGCAGTATGTGCGACCCCGCTTGAAGGTTGTGGGGGTTTGGGCTTCAAAATACTTGCTGACCCTCTACCTCGTCGATGCAAACATTGCCCACGATGCCTCACTTACAGTGGAGGCTGCAAGTCTGTGAGACAACCTCAGAGTCTCAAAGCCCTTGCCTCCGACCCCAATCACTATGTTTTCCCAAAAACCTTCTCACTCCAAAAACCCGCCCCCACAGGTGCTGTCTCGAAGCATCGAGGACATCATGCAGCATTGCGACTCCAACGGCCTGAGAAGGCCAGTGGAGTTGATTTGCTGGGCAGCTCGCACCGCTCCAGGTTTTGCAGTGGCTTAGGTGTCCCGGTTTGGGCAGGCAGTGGTTCGAGGATTTAGGGTTCGGGTTCAACTTTGGGGCCATGGTTTTTGCATCAAGGGTTAACTCAGCCGAGGCAGATAATACCGTGAGGGAAAACAAGAACCGCACTGTGCTTGGCTACCTCATGTACTTGGCTGCCTCGAAGGGATTTAGGACAACAAATTTGACATCAAGCAGGGTGGGCCACACCCACAACCGACTGGATGCCCTCTTTGGATTATTGTCTACGGCAGTGCGGTACGAAGATTCCCTTCTAGACATGGAAGACACCCGCCAGAAGCTTGACTCAAGAGAAACATGAAGCAATCATTGTGGTCTTATGTATGAGTCCTAGAAGGTGAAGCCTTTGCCTTTCACTTCGGGCTTCTAGGGTCTAAACATGGGCTCCGACTTTGCCTCTGCAACCCCGACAACCTACCTTTCAAGGAAGCTGGAATCTCTTCTTCGTCGCCTCAATGTCCAGTCGTGGGTCGGCCCAAATGCACTGATGAAGGTTGTCGCCTTGGGACACGTCAAGGATTGGCAGCAGTGGTTTCTCGGCTGCTTTGTGTTCGGGCTTGGCACTAGTAAGGTTAGATCTTACTGCTCCTTTGATATACTCTAAGAAGCCGAGAACTTAGAAAACCAATAGCCTCAAACCTAAAGTATCAATAAAGTGGTCGAGCCTGGCACTTGTAATGGTTGGATGTTACTGCTGCTTCGATGTACATCTGCTGGGCATACAGCATACACCATACACCTACAAGTAAGTGACAAACCCAATAGCCTCAGTCCCGAAAACACAAGAAACGGGAATCCCAGCACTGAGTCCTTTATCCGGTTGCCAACTGAAAACCATTCCCCAAGGACCAACTTCAACGGAACTTAGAACAATTCCCCTCGTTATTTACGATTTAGTGGAAGCCAAACCTCGGCAGGGTGGACTCTCTGAGAGTGCACTGGCACGGGGCTTTGCTGGATACATCCGAAGGGGTGCACTCCTTTACTTTCCTGCGGAGGCATGGCAGCTTGCCGGCAATGAGTTCGTACTGCACGGGTCTGTGGAAGGGTTGTGGGATTATCTCTGATGATGGGAAGGACGGTGTCAAAACCACACGGTTTAGGTTCGGGCTTGAGAGTTGAAGGTTTAGGGTTTAAGGTTTGGGTTCCCTTTTCCGCAGTATCGAAAGGGCTTCCGCCAGTTAAGGTTATTACAGCGCTAATCGCGACATTTCTGGGTTTGTCCCAGAGGAACAGATTTTTAGAGGATCGGCTTATGATTCATATATGAAGGTTCTAGGGGTTCAGGTTCAGCTCGACTCACAGCGGCCTCATTCAGTAGCATATCCGATAGATTTTCGAGTATCATGAACTTCATTGTACGTTTCAAGAATCCTAATACAACAAATGGCCGCTTTAAAACCGCTGTGTGCGTGTCGTATCTCTTGGGGATGGTGTGCTAGCACTTAAACATGAACTTGTTTCCCTAAACCCTGAAGCCGCCAAGCCTGCCACCACCAAGATGTGCCAAGCGATGCTCGGATTCATGCCGAAGGGCCTGTTGCACGCACCGTGGCCAAATCTGATTTTGATGTGATCTGTTACGTGAAGCGGTATGCTTCGGATGAATCTGTGTCACAGAAGCCGCTGCTGTCTCTGCCACATGAATTCTTGTCCCGACTGCCATCCCCATTGCCTACTCTCCAGAAAGCATTGGTGCCTTTGTCTCTGAAGAAAAGGAAGCAGTGGCTGGCTCTAGCAAAGGAGCTCTTTCGAAGAAAGCGTTTCTCCGAGGGGTCAATCCGATATCTTCTGAAGGCTGCTGAGGGTGGCACCATTGTCGTCGAGAATGAAGTGCCCCTGCCTTGGCACAATGAGGATCACCAGCATGTGCTGGTCCGTTTGGAGGATGCTCCCCCGAACACGTTCTTGAAGTTGTTTCCGGTTGCGAGATTCAAGGCAACGCTGCGAAGGTAAATTACCTTTCGGCTTTCGGGTGCCTCCTTAGACCCCCAGGGAACACAATCCTACATAAAACAACAGCTTAGCTCAGGGCTTTTCCTCAAGGTGGGGTTCATTTGTTACAGGGGTCTGGGGCAGGTGGCAGAGAGCTGTGTTGATGTGAGCAAAGATGCTTTGGACAAAGTCCAAGCGCCACTGACCTCCATGTTCCGAGAACAAATTTCGCACTGCCTCTGCGAGTCGATGCAGTGCACACACGGCTTTAGTTTGATGCTCGTTGACAACTTTCAGTGTTTCAAGATTCGAGACTTGCCCAGCCCTGCTGCGCAGCAAACACAGGCCCTAAGAGCACAATGCACTGAAATGCCCTGACATGATGGCACACTTCCATCAAGTTTCCTCAGGCCTGTAGGGGGTCTCGCAGATGGACTCAGAGGAAGAGCGGCTGCTGGGTGGTGACGGACCCTCTGACTCGGAAGAAGAACGTTTGTCTCGAGGGCGACCTGCATAAATTTCATCCTGTCCCTCCAAATTAATTCCCCTACTCAAGATGTCACATAGACACACCCACCGAAATCCTAAACAGCCACTTCGCAATACAGGCCCGAAACCAAGCTCAGATCCCTCAGCTGTGAACATAAACACCCAACACGTCTTAGGAATGAACCCATGCCCAGGCAGTCCGCTGGCTCTGAAGAAGCCCTTCATTTTTCGGTGGCTGCTGCCCTGAAATTGATGCATGTGAAGGACCTGGATTCTGTCCTAACCCCGAACTTTACATCTAAGCTCTAGATTCTAAACTTCTAAACTCCGAGTCCCCTGCCCAGGAAAAATCCCGGCCACCGCGGTCCAGAGCGTCTCGGCAAAAGGCACGGCGGGCAACCAGGTTTGTTTACGGAACCAGCCTACCGCCTGCCACCGGTGCCGGGGGTCCACGAAGTGTTGCAGAACAGTTTCGCTGGCCGCAAAGGCCGGGATGAGGATTCGGGCTTTAAGCTGTGGCTTCAGATGGGGTTGAGAGGTTTTGTCCCGCAGCCCCCCAGGTTTCTTCAGAAGGCCCAGGACAAATGGGGTGCAACATGGGTGGTGGCACGCCTGGCCCAAAACCTCAGCTGGTTTCTGACTACAACCTTTTCCGGAATCGGATGCTTCGAACTGGCTTGTGCAAGTGTCAACGATCCGCACTAGTATGAATTTGTCTTTGATTTGTGGCAGCTCTGACAACCTATCAGCAATACTCCTGTTCCTGCGGGAGTAACATCAGGTCGAGACTGCGGCCCGTGCAGCGATTCGCCGAGCTGGATTGGATGATACTGCGGCCTGCATCCAACTTGGTTGTGCCACCGACTACTGCCAACAGTCCCAGAGCATCCTGCAACGCACGTTTCGAAATCGGTGTGTGTCGTCTTCTCAGATACAGTTGCACTGCTATGCATGGTGATGTCTAGAACTTAAAAGAATGTAAGCGCTTTTGGGCCTAGCAGGTTCAGTGACGTTCTCCACTGGCGAGGGCAAGACGGATTGATGAACTGTGCCTGGTGCACTACACACGACCAAATGTGCCCCCTCCCGACCGCTGACAGACATGGACGACGATTTAGGGTGGAAGCTGCTGGGGCCTCTTGCCAGCCTTTCAGTGCGGCTGGGAAGCGGACCAAGGCTGGGTTCTGTTTCGGGACATGAAACCCGATCTCCAGTAAATCCCCCTCGCCCTTTTTGGCAGACTTTGCACACTGCCTTCACCTCCCACACCATCTGGCACGACATGAGGATGAAGCACCAGGAGGCCTGCAAGGGCACAGCTGAATTCCCAAGTTGTTGAGTTAACTATAAGTATTGATCAACCGTTTGCTGGCATCCCATGGCGGTGTGCAGATGCAAACCATAGACAATTATCATCAGTGTGGTTGTTTCTGCAGGATGTAATTGTGTTCGAGAATACGCCCTTCTTCGACCTGGACATCCTGAAGGAACGCTTCGGACGCTGACCCGCACTTGCTGCGTCCGTCTGTCACTCCAAAGAAATACCACATGCGTGCTTGATTTGTACGTATCACTCAGGCCACCACTACGACATTCGCTCGGTCTGCTTCTGTGCGAGACACCTGGGGTTTGGGTGTGCCAGAGCCAGGGTCTGGGTTATCATGACGAAGAAAGACACGGTAAGATGGACGACAAAGTGCAAGCTGGAAGACCTGGTTTCTACATTCTTTGCGAAGCCAAAAATGCACGTTCCTGGGCCTCTGCACATAATGATGCCCAGCTGCCTAGTGCGGCAAAACGCATTGATCTGAGGCTAGCGACTTCTTCTATGTGAAGAAGATGAAGTCTTGCAAGACGACCCCATTGACCGACGCCCAGCTCCGAACCAAGAGGTCCTATGACGAGGTCTTTGGACACACCAAGAAGGCATTCGGGTAATGGGTTTCTCGGGGATCCTTCAGGATTGCACCCACGTGTTTGTAGAAACTGGCTAGCTTCTTTGTATAATTTCCTCAACCTCAAGCCCTACAAGCCTGATCTCCGAAACCCCAGTCTCTCCATTATTGGGATGCCCATGAAATACAACTGCTCGAATCCGAAGCCTAAAGCTTATACATCATATACTGAAGCCAGTAAACCCTAAAAATAACATTTGCATATCCTCAAACTTATGAAAACCTTGCACCTACTCTCTCAGTGATGTTTGAACCCTTTAAGTAACAGTGACTCTGCACGGTCTGGGTTATCCACATGAAGGTACCAAATAAATTCATTCAAAGGTCATCTAACTTCAGTCCCCGGGCTCCCTGCCGCAGGTGTATGATCTCTCCCAAGCCTCGGCCGCACACATGAGAACTGAGCTGCAAGATGACTCCTTGATGACCATGAAAACCAATTGCAGCAAGATCTATTCCGTCACACAGAACCGCCTCATGAATGTAGAGGAGATTTTTTCCACTCTGTGTGTCCCGACGAAGACCCAATTCGTGACATGATTGCATCACTGCCATGACAGTTCTGTTTACATTGATTTTGATCAGAGGAAATGTTGTGTCGGGCCCATCTGAGGCATCCGCTGCTGGAAGCCCCATGATCGATGTGGGCGACCTGTCGTTGAGTGCAGCTTCTAAGCTAGCGGGGAATGGGATGCACCTTGCACAGGCCGGTGCCATTGCAATTATAGCAGCCCTGTTTCTCGAAAGATTGTAGCCTCCGAGTCAGCCGTCACCAATCACCACACCAGAGTCCCTCTGACGATAAGATAACTTCCTTCACCTGACCCCGGACTTGTATTCTGGATTTCCAAGTGGGATCGCCTGAGCATTGTATTTTTTGGTGCAGCTTGATTGACAAGTTCGACTTCAATGCAAATATAGCTCTAGAACTATTCGATCTTCGGGTTTGGCTCTGCTGTTGTTGGCGAGCTTCAAGAAACCCTAGGCCGAAACCGAACCCGATAATCATACCCATCCTATGAAGACTTCTTCTTACTTACCCCAACTTTCAAATTTCCAAGTGATTTACCAAACTGCAGGATCGAGGCAGGTCTGCAGAAAGTGGGCTAGTTTCACGATTAGCTGTCAATGCATAATGTGCTGCCAGCTCCGAGCTCAGCTTGTGGGACGATTGACATGAGGCACGAGCGGCAGGAGCTTCTCCGAAAATTTCAAGGGCTGGGGTTGTTGACTGTGCAGTGCAAGCAAGAGGGCAGCAGCATCAGCGAGCCATTCCGCAGACGGTTTTTGTTTCAATTCGCTGTGGCTGGGTGCCAGTCACGGGGGTCGGCGATGGCTCCCAAAAAGAAGGCCTCTGCAAAGAAGAAGCCAAAGCATGAGGAAACCTGGGTCGGGCGGATGGTGAAAGCCCTGGAGATTCTCTAATGAATTAAGTGACATTGGTTTGCAGTATTAAAATTATGAGACGCAGCTTCACGGAGTAAGGACCTACAACCCTGAACGAGATGAACACCCCTGCTATTTGGTGGAGCAGTACTTCGGGCCGGAATCCAATGACACCATGGTCCAGGCTGTGAACCATTGGCTCTCAAGCAATGGGCAGTCGGAGGTCGGGACCATACGTGAGATAACAATCGTAAACAATGTATGAGTCAGGGTGCTGCTGCTGCTGCTGCTGCACTTTGATTTGTTAGGTGGTCGTGGACAACCACGTTTTCCCCTCCGAGAACATCGCGGCCAACATCCCCATCCTGGCCCTCAGCTTGCCCATCCCGGTGGACCAGGCACCGCCTTTGATCACTTGGGGCAAGTTTGCACCGTCGATTTGGAGTGCATGGGAGAATGAAAGGGAGCCCCTGGAAGTGAAGCCCCAAGCCTCAACGCAGCTGAAAGCCGGTGAGCGCCTCACCCGTGCTTCTGTAGGGGTGTGCCGCGGCTACAGTCGAAGCACGATCATAGCATTTGCCATTGCCCGCACCCTCATGATCGAAGACTTGGCAACAATGCTGGAGAGTGAGAAGGAGGAGTTCACGAGGTGGGGATTGTTGTTCTGATCAGCAATAATAATAGGAGCCTTCGCTATTGTAGTTGTTGTTGCTGCCGCTGTTGCTATTGCTGCCGCTGCCGCTGTTGCTACCGATGTTGCTGTTGTTGTTTGTCATATTAATGTTGTTATTGTTGTTGGACTTGTTTTATTTTGGTGGTGGTGGTGGTGGGTCTGTTGTTGTTGTTGTTGTTGTTGTTGTTGTTGTTGTTGTTGTTGTTGTTGTTGTTGTTGTTGTTGTTGTTGTTGTTGTTGTTGTTGTTGTTGTTGTTGTTGTTATTGTTGTTGTTGTTGTTGCTGTTGTTGCTGATGTTGCTGTTGTTGCTGTTGTTGTTGTTGTTCTTGTTAGGATTCTGTTCATGTTCTGGCATCGCACACGGACCCAAAGCAAGTCGATTTCAAACCTCTGAAAAGCACTTTCAAAATCGACTTGGTTTGGACCAAACCACGTCGAATTCTTTATGTGAAGCCCTGACCCAATCGAAAAGGCTACTCAACACAAAACGCTCCCAAAGACTAGGCAAATTGACTTGGTGGCCGGTACACATAATGAAATCGACTTGGTTTGGACCAAACCACGTCGATTTTCAATCCTTGGATAGGCCTTCCGTTTTCGACTTGCTTTGAGTAGGCTGCAATTCAATGATCTTAGTACTGCTCCATGTTGCTCCACAGACAGGGAATAAGCTGGAATTGAATGATCTTAGTACTGCTCCATGTTGCTCCACAGACAGGGAAATCGACTTGGTTTGGACCAAACCACGTCGATTTTCCAGGGGTCGGCAGTCAACGCGACCCGAAACCACGTCGAATTCTGGGGGTGGCTAGTATGCGGGGACCGAAACCACGTCGATTTCTCCTGGGTGGCTAGTATGCGGGGACCAAAACCACGTCGATTTCCTACTATGCGGGAAACCAAATCCCAAACCCAGTCCGGTCCAGAAGTCGCCGCCCGAATCCCTGGTTCCCGAATATTATTTCAAGCTTAATACAGCCGTGCCGTGTTAATAATACTAATACTAAAATCATAGGTTTACTATTATTAATGACTAGCGAGGTGGCTCCTGAACGTCCTCTACATCAAAGTGATCTACACGCCCCGGCTTAGCCACGAGTACAGCTACAGGAACATGCAGCTGTCAGCCCAGGCGGCTGACAGACAACGCAAGAACATCTTGCAGATGGCTTTGCGGTTCCATCAGAGAGCCCAGCAGATGCTATCGGAGACTAGTGGGCATCATATATTAATCTGAATTTATTCTGAATCAAGAGATTCCTTAGCTTGCGGGTGCAAAGCAAGGATACACCGGAATTGTTCAAGTTGGAAGATCCGATGGAGGCGGCTTTTCGTGAATATAATGCCTTCGGCCTTGCAGAGCACGCCGATCAGTACAAGCTTGCCGAGAAAGATTGCCAGGCCATGAAGGCCCGATTGATAGACACTTTCAGAAGTTAAGGTGATGGTTTGGACCGTTTCTTGCGATCTAATCCTGCATAAAGGATAGCATTAGCAGGCTCTTGCTGTTCTAATGTCCACAACTAAGCACAGGGCTCAATATGATTTTATGATAATGGCAATAGACCCGGCTATTTCAAGCGACCACAGTAGGATCCTCTACAACGGCACGACCGTCTGCTACACAATAATAGTGATCCACACTCAGGACCCCCTGTAAGCCCGTAATCTCCAGTATCCAGAAAAGAGCCATACTGCCTAGCTTTGAAAATAACCCCCGAACCTTGACTCTCTGTCGCTGCCCGTAGATCTGGGTTCTCGGCTGGATCATCGCTTGCATAATTGGGCCTGCCGTGCTGGGGGTTAGCTTCCAGGTTCCAAAATGTTGGGGTTGGGTTTTGGAGTCGATGAGATCTTCTGGTCTTTTAGTACTACTACTACTACTACTACTACTACTACTACTACTACTACTACTACTACTACTACTACTACTACTAGTACTACTAGTACTACTAGTACTACTACTACTAGTACTACTACTACTAGTACTACTACTACTACTACTACTACTACTACTATTACTACTACTACTACTACTACTACTACTACTACTACTACTACTACTACTACTACAGTGCAATCACTGTACAAGAAATGGTTGGATAAGAAACGTAGGGGCTACGTCAACCGGATAGCACCCAAAAGCCCAAAATTCAAAACGCCTTCTAACTAAGAAATGAAGGGTACCCAACGTTTTAGGGTCATTTCTTATTTGGCTGGGCGGTTAATTTCTTGATTCGGGTGTTCTCATGTACTTGCAAGCCTCGAAAACCCGTTTGGGGGTTTTCCAAGAGCCAACACGAAACTTAGGGGGCTACATTTCTTATTTTGGGTGGTTTCCAAGGCTTAAGCTTAGGGCACACGACAGGAGCCAAAATAAGAAACGTAGGGGGCTACATTTCTTATTTTGGGTGGTTTCCAACAAGGCTTAAGCTTAGGGAACACGACAGGAGCCAAAATAAGAAACGTAGGGGGCTACATTTCTTATTTTGGGTGGTGTCCAAGGCTTTAGCTTAGGGCACACGACAGGAGCCACAATAAGAAACGTAGGGGGCTACATTTCTTGTTTTGGGTGGTTTCCAAGGTTTAAGCTTAGGGCACACGACAGGAGCCAATACAAGAAACGTAGGGGGCTACATTTCTTGTTTTGGGTGGTTTCCAAGTTCAAGGCTGAAGCTTATAGGGCTACATTTCTTATTTGGGGTGGTTTCCCAGGCTTAAGTTTAGGGCACACGACAGGAGCCAAAATACGAAACGTAGGGGGCTACATGCCTTATTTTGGGTAATGCTGCCTTAGTGGTGTCTGTCTAGGCTAATGGCAAAGGCATTGGCTTAATAGAGTGCAGCTGAACTACCATGGGCTCGAGCCCCGACTAAGAAACGAACAAGAAACGAAGGGTACCCAACGATGCAGAAGTTGGGAAATGTGGAAATATGAATGTAACAGGAAGCTAAGAATGAAGGGTACGCAAGGCTGGAAGCTGGCATTTCTTATCCAGTAGATGCACTGTACTACTACTACTACTACTACTACTACTACTACTACTACTACTACTACTACTACTACTACTACTACTACTGCTTCTACTCCTGCTACTGCTACTACTACTACTACTACTACTACTACTACTACTACTATTATTGCTACTGGTACTGCCACTGCCACTGCTACTGCCACTGCTACCACTGCTGCTACTGCTACTGCTACTGCTGCTGCTACGCTGCTGCTACTACGACGACGACCACTACTTCCTGCTGCTGCTAGACGGTCTGTTGTGTCTTTGTTTGGGTGGTCGGGTGCCTGTATTTAATGGTAAAGGTACCCACTGCAGCCCCAGTGCCAGCTCTACGTGATTGGGAAAGGATCTTCTTAGTAAGTAATTAAACAAGTAAGGTTTGAAAGAAAACTTCTTCGGAGTTTGACAACTCACGACAATCATGTGTGATGTACATGTGAACTCTCGAAACCCAAAGCCCAGTCAGGAATGATGACTTCATTAGTATATACGAAGGCTATGAACTTCTTGACCCACAATATGCAGTTTGCTGCTGATTCTACGATTATTCTACAACACGACAATTAGACAAGTAATATCATCTGAACTGCCCGCTGGTTGCCGTGGTTCTACTTCTTATTATCTCTTTTGAACAGCGTCTGAGCCAGGTGCTGATGGCAAGTGTGTCGGAGGAAGTTCGGCTGTTGATGTCCAGGCATCTTCAGTCGAACGTGTGGTCGGACTGTGCCTACAGCCTGGAGAACGTGAAGTCCTACCGCTGGCACCTCGGCTCCTCCGGCCGTGCCGAAGGAGTCTGGAAGGACATTATGACCGTGACCAAGGCCAAGCAGGTATGCTTCATCCAGCGGATCCACTTCGCTTTTCAGGTGAGGCGACGGCAAGTGAAGGCGGCCATGCACTCACGCATGAACCAGGAGCAGTGGGATGCCACTCTTGAAGGTGTGTGCTTCATGGTTTGGGTGTTGGATTGTATGCGGGCAGCTACAACGGACGACGGTGCCGCCCCTCTGTTCTCCGCCGATGTCCTTCGAAGTGGCTTCCAGAAAGTCCTGGAAGGGTGACTCGACAGTGAACTGACATTGTTTTGTGGTGTACGCTCTTAGGGCTCTGGTGCTTGATTGTCTCCTGTTCGCTGAGGGACTACACGTCCGAGGCGGAGAAGCACTGCCTCCTCAGGCTTGCTGATGTGAAGCCCCAGGATTGCTCCATTTGGGCCGACCACATGCCCAAAGACCCGGCTGCCAATGCACTCAAGGATTGCAGGGAGCAGATTACGAAGCTCGATCAGGAGTCGATTCAGAAAACCTTTGAGTCTGACTGCTACAAGCTGACCTGGGATCTGTCTGCCTTTGCCTCCCATGTCGACTCCCTGAGCAAGAACAAACGAACCGCCCAGATCGCCAAGGTTTGCCATGTGCGAGCCGAGATGAAAAGAGGGTCCAATGCAGTCGTGAACTTTATGGAGAAGAACTGCCTCCACGAGACCGCGCTTTTCAAGGACCGGGACACGTGCGAAAACGTGAAGAAGGCCAGGATCCTAGTAGTGGCAGCCAAACCCAGCCGCCTTGCCTCTCCAACAGCGACAGTTCAAACTCTTACTCTGTAAGCCCTAAACTTCCCAAACCCTGAAGATTGTATATTTCGGCAAAAAAGATCTAAAACAGTGACTGACGTTCCAAACCCCAGACACCCAACACCCGTTGTTCAAAGCCGGAAACCTCAAAGTCTTATACCCTGAAACCCCTAAGCCAACAACCTGAAACCCTTAGCCCTCAAATCCTCTGACCATGAACGCTTTAACCATCAACCCTAAACTTAAACTTTAAAAAAAACCAAACCTGTGCTCTGTGCCAGTGGCTGAATGCCTCGCGGCCCGATGCTGCCATCGTCTGGGCCGACCTCACAAAGTTCGGCAGGCTACAGACTGAGGTGCTGAATGAGGTGTCTGAGCTGCTCAGGGGGGTTCTTAGCCACAGCCCCCAGATCATGGTCGGCATCGTGGTGGTGCCAGTGCTTAGCTCTTCCAGGGTTGGCAATGGAATCCGAGGAGAGCTTCGGTGGCTAGCTTGCATCTATTAAGTTGTGGTACAAGAAATCATTATGTACCCTCAATATGTCTGTTGCCTTAGAGGCGTCTGGAAGACAAGCTGGATGCAAAGTTCTTGGACAATGTTCACGTGAACATTCGTATGGGCGAGCCCCACAACAACAAGAAGCATGCCCTGCTGTATCCGGCCCTGGTGTGCTGGCCTGCAGGGACCTCCGACAACATCTTCGAGTCATCCAAGCTGGTCATTGACAGGCTTGCTGATGTTTTGTAATCTTCCCGTGAATACGATGCAAACCACTGTCCTTCACTTCTCTTTCTCTTTCTCATCGTTCTCTCTTTGTCTCCCTCTCCATCATACTGTCTGTCTTCGGTCGCTGCTTCTGGTCAGGTGCAACCGCGAGCCGGTGGAGTGGATGCTGGAGCGGGACTATAAGGTCCCGACCATCGGCAAAAACGCCACGCCGAGCACCCGGGAAGACCTCGACAGGCCAGTCTTTTAACCCCTGACCCGAAACCCTAAGGACCCTCAAACCCTAGACCCTAAGTCCTAAAACCTAAACCCCAAAACCCCTGAACCGAAAGCCCCTGCAACGAGGTTTTACTTGTTATCGTGCTTTCTCTTATCCTGCGGAGGTCCCATTCCGAAGCACAGGAAGCAGCCCAGCATTTGGGCGGACTGCACATGCCACAAGTGGTGATGCAATCCCTGCTCAAGGACCAACAATGCTTAATTCCTGAAGTTCGCCTTTCGGAACTGAGTTGGCTTGAAGCCTCCACTTGTGTGTGCCCTGATCAGGATACTGCCTTGGACAGCAGCAGCAGGATCTGCTGCATCAACTTTACGCCCTATGATGGGGCCTTCGAGAAGGCCTGTATCCAGTCCGCTCACAACAATGGGCCCAGGACACTTAAATGCTTGTTGGTATTAGTCAAGTGGTGAATCAGCACGCTGACAGCAGTGGTCGAAATTCACGGCTACACGCAATGCTTACTTGTTCAGGGCATCCTACAACTGGGTGTTGGACACTCGCTTGTTTCCAGGATTCTTTCCTACTCCATTGCCGAAGACAACATGATTGTGAAGTACTGCGAGAGGATGGTTGCTCAGTACCTTTTGGAGGCGAGCTGTGAATACCTAGCACAGATGCATCGTCGATAGAAGCTACGGAATGCTAAGTCCTGTCAGGACTGGAAGACCGGGAACAACATTGTCGGGGCTTCGAATTTCCAGCCCGAGCCAGCAGCAGAAGCAGCCTCCCAAGGCCCTTCCGACCCTACCTTCAACCTCTGCTCCCTCGCCACAACCCCCGAGGGCAACTTGGCCATCGCTTTGCCCCCCGGCATCCGGTCGAAGTGGTCGGAGGACTCAGCACGCAAGGACGACTGGGAGAAGCTCTTGAAAAAGTTCGATTCTTCGCAACTTATTCAAAATCAGAGCTAATCGTGATCCTTGCATCTGACATCTTGTCACAGTCACATGTGAATGCAGTGATAAAGCATCTTCTAAGGGTTCACACGACTGCGACAGCATCCGGTACCTCCTCTACCTCTGTGACTACCGCTTCGGGGGTGTCCACAGCCGCCACGGATGACGGCATGTGGGCTTCTGAGCCCAAGACCAGCGATGAGCTGGAGAGCAGGTATGATATCCTGCACAGCTTTCCGGGAAGGAACGCCAACGTGACTCTGAAGATCACTTCGTCTACGGAAAAAAACCAGGAGCAGGCAGCAAATGTGTGCGAGGGCCAAGTGCACAAGCTGTTCTTGGTTCTTAACTCAGATTTCAAGTTGAATGATCAGCACGACTCGTGCAAAAGCCACCTACTCGATTCCAGAACCCTTGAATGAATCACTCTCAGGTTGCCAACAGCGATGTGACCCTCCCGAAGACTGAGTACCAGCTGGCACACGACCGGGCATCCTTTCTCTCTGGGCAGAAGGTCCAGAAGCTGATGGAGCAAGGAGGCAGGACCGGGAGAGAAATTAGAGAATGCAGCAAGGAGTGCAGACAGGGAGAGAGAGAGAGAGAGAGAGAGAGAGAGAGAGAGAGAGAGAAGGAACGAGAAGGTGAAATTGTGAGTTTGGGCAACATGTGCTAACATTGACTGTTTGGGTAACATTGTGATTGTGCTAGCATTGACTTATTGTCTTGTTGCAAAGATCTTGGGGCTCGAGACGTCGCTTTGAAGCTAGCAGCCTGTTCTCATTCACGATGGATGATCGTTCATCTGATCTGATGGCCTTCCTCATGTCTTCTCATAGCAGCATGCCCGCAGCTGCAATGAATCCCGAAGCGGGTGCCTCATCCGCGAGTCCCAGCACCGGCCGCCTGGCAAGAACAGTCACGCCACCACCGGTGCAAAGGCAGCTGTCCTTTGAATCTGAGACCACTCAGATTTTGGGAGGTCCCTACAGGCGGGGGGCTACCATGGACTCGGACATGGGTCTCACACCGAAGACGGCTACGAAAGTACGTGCTGCTAGTACACTTCTTCCGGAAAGCCCACTGCCAAGCGCTCTGCACACATCGGATGATCCTGCATTGATGAAGGAGATTGATGCGGTGACCGAGAAGCTGCAAACAGAGCTGAAGATGGACGAGAAGAAGAATAAGGAGAAGACAACCAAGAAGGCCGAGACTTCGGAGACGCAGCCCAAGCAGAAGGCCGAGACTTCGAAGAAGCAGCCCCAGAAGGCCGAGACTTCGGACACGCAGCCCAAGCAGAATGCCGAGATTTCGAAGAAGCAGCCCAAGAAGAACCCCGCCGAGGCAGAATTTTAGTGGTTTCTTCAGCAATGAATCCGACCTCAACAGAACAGTACTCTAGAGCCTACTATCCATGGACCCCAGCAGCCCCTTCCAAAAAATGAAGCCAATCCACAGCCCTGCGAGTGCAGCGAAACTCTTCACAATAATACACATACCTAATATACCTTCCCATTGCCATGCAGTCTTGCATCACAGAGAAAGGTTAGTAGACCCTGACTTGTATTTCCGTACTTTAGCATGACGTCTTGTGTAATGACAATGCAGCTACATCCGTGGTTTTGTCACCGAGCTAGTCGCTGGTACTTCTACTAAGTACTACGAATACTACTATTACTACGACTCGTCCTCCTACTTCTCCTGCTACTACGATGATGACGACTACTACTGCTACTACTAGTACTAGTACTAGTACTAGTACTAGTACTAGTACTAGTACTAGTACTAGTACTAGTACTAGTACCTACTACTAGTAGTAGTACTAGTACTACTACTACTACTTCTAATTCTACTTCTACTTCTACTTCTACTTCTACTTACTACTACTTCTTTTTCGATGACTACTACTCATTCCCTAAACCCTAGAGCCTGAAGCCTTAACCCCAAACCCCAATCCCAAAAACTAATCTCTAAGCTTTAGACCCATAACCCGGTTGTTGCAGGCCTCTTTATAATTACAGTTTCATGTCCTATAAGACCTTGTCCCTGCTTCACAGGAGCCGCAGCCTGGATCCTTGGGGGCCATGGTGAAGAGTGCAGTCCACACCTCGGCTACAGCTTCCGGTGCAGGGAAGAATGTGATCTTTCCGCCTGGGTGGAGAAAGGGGGCTGATTCGAAGGCAAAAGCATCCGCAAAGAAGAAGCCGGAGAAGAAGAAGAAGGAGACCGACTCAGGCGAGGACCAGGATTCCCAGAACGGTTCCGCAGCTTCGGCAGACGAGGGCCAGGGTTCCGACGTCATGGAGGACCAGGATTCCAAGAATGGTTCGGCAGCTTCGGCAGACGAGGGCCAGGGTTCCGACATGGAGGCCGAGGATTCAGACGAGGGTCATGCAAAGAAGAAGGCAAGCCCCAAAAAGGCAGCATGCAAGAAGAGTGCCATCAAACCGAAAGCGGCCGCAAAGTCATCCGGCAACAAGAAGAACAAGGACGGCAAGAAGGGCGCCAACAAGATCCCGGCGGAGGCTGGCTCGCATCCCACTAAGAGGCCGATTGAGAAGGAGAAGAAGCCCAGGAAGGAGACGGCCCTCACCGAAGGATGGAAGAAGTTCTCGACCGATTACATCCGTGAGCACAAGGGCGAGGGCAAGAAGCTCAGCCAGCTCATGAAGGAAGCCAGCGAGCAGTGCTACTCCCAGTTGTTCTTGCTGCTAAACCAGGACCATTACATTATAAATTATCAAACCCCAAACACTAAGCTGAGAACCCCGCGAATAAGAAACTAGGCACCTTAATCCCTAAAAGACATAACCGCCACCACCACCACCGCCACCATCACGGAGCACCACCAGCAGCACTGGCACCAGCACTGATACCATAGTGACGACAACTATTTAGTAATAGCTTGTCTAAAACCGACTGTAACTAGAACTCAACTACAACTACAACTCACCTACAGCTAATAAGATATTACATACTACTATGCCCACCACTGTAACTACACTACTGGCTGCCTCTGGCTACAACTACGACTACTGATTACCACTACGTATTTTTACTGTTAGCGGAACTAAATCTATCTATCAATTTCAATTGAGGTGGAAGAGTCATCCTTTACGTGTCGGTGCCATGAGAGGGCTTTCAGCGAGCCAGCTTAAGCGCCGTCGATGGGCCTGATAGGCTAGAGCTTGGTACTTAGCCCTCTCGGAGCACAAAATCAAGTAGATCAAGGAGCCTTACTTTACTCTTAACGGGGTCCCGATTTTAGGGTAGAGTGCCTCTAGGGTCCCGATGATGACTGGGCTCCGGAGGGCTGGCTCTGGGGTTTTCGCATGTTTTCGCATCCTCGCAAGAAGGATGCACAAAGTGTGCTGGGGCATTAGCTCAGGTCGTCTTGCTGCTTGGCTGTGCATCGGCTTCTGCGCTTGTCCAAATTCGGACGGGGGCTGTGGTCTTACCTGCTACCGACTGATGCTCCCAAGTTTGCTTCGGCTTCCTTCACAATACTTGAGGAGTCCCATCGGCAAGTACGCTGGCTGAAAGATCCGTATGTACGATTGCCGTGGTGCAACGAATCAGAGCCCACGTTGCTAGAATGGTATCAGCTCTATTCCCGCCTCGGTATCTAGAGAAATTTGCCGCTGCTTTGGAATTCTTCGACTGTATACTAGATGATTGATTCTGCTTCGGATGTGACCAATGCAATAATACAACCTACACCGGGACTCAGCTTATTCTTATTATGAAGGACCACAACCCAGGGTGCCGAAGCTTCCGAGTCGCAGGCATGCATGTCTGTTCGCAGATGACAGTGATGGCCTCGGACGTGACAAAAAGCGCTTGGCCGGTTTCTGCTCTGATCTTGAAAATAAAACAAACAGCCTGGAGTCCAAATCCCTGAACCCCACACCCTACCCACATGTATATGAAGCAACCTTGAACACCCTAAACCAAAAACCCTCAAAGACCCCTCAAAGGCCGTGTCTGGATATTCCAAACCTTTTTTAGGTGCGAGAATCTTGGGGCAGGCAAAAGTCAAGCTGCTAGGGTTCACCACTTTATTGTCATGCTGAGAAATCATGATCCTACTTGAAAATATTACAAACACAACCCTAACCATGAACCCGAAGCTCAAATTGATTCCTGGTTTCCCTAAACCCATGCTGGCAGGCCCGCTCAAGGACGCGACCAACATCGTCTGCTCGTGGGCCAGCGACAGCGATCCTGTTGTGTTCGAGACAGCGGAGGGCCGGCGGTTGAAAGATGCCGAGATCTCGACCATGAAGTTTCTTGGCATGGGTTTAGTTTGCTAAACAACAAAATGTCATTGGGACTTCGATGTCACGAGGCTGCTCATCGAGGAGATGGAGAGCAACGGGATCGTCGATCTGACGATTAACTCCCACGACATGGACCGGTGCGACGAAGGACTCGGTTCATGATCAAGACTTTTACGTTGTTGCTTGAAGTATGTGTGCCCTGCAAGGAGGCGACGATGACCACGTCTTCACGATCGAGCCCTCGAGCGATGCCCCCCCGCTTGTGTTCAAGTTCACGAAGAACTCCGGGCAGAACCTCAAGTTCACGAATGCAGCCAGCTTCTTTGACAACCGAAGCCTCATGTCGAGCGAGGCACTTCGCATGGTTTGGCGAGTTAGCTTCAATGCTGACGAGCAGGACTCATGTTGCTACTTATGGGAAATTGTAATAAGACCAACCGTCAATCATTCCTCCACAAAGCAACCTCTTACAGACTACCCCGGCCCCTCCTAACCCCCAAAACGAATGTTGCCCGAGGAGATCTCACCGAAGAAGCCGCTGTACTTCTTAAAGCAGCCGGCGGAGCTGCAGAAACAGCAAGTGATGCGGTTGCTGTAAAGGTGCCTTGGGGTCTCCGCTGCGGTTCCTGCCGCCTCCTAGAAGGGTATAGCTTCTAAGAGTCCTAGGGTCTTTCTACACGGCTCTTTGGTCCCAGACTAGCCTAAAGCCTAAATGGTACAAGCGGAGGGCTGGAACAGGAACCCGAAATTTTGAAATCCATGCGACTGCGATGCTTTCGTGACACGGCGGCCGTCCTTGAAAATGAAGAAGCTTCAGCCGCCATCGGTGCTGCTCCACATGTCTGTTCTATGCTGGGAATATTTCATCTAAACTATCTATTGTTATACAGGGTTTACGCCCTAAAGAGTAGTTCGCACGGGTTTTAAGTTTTGGGGGATGAAGGTTTGGAGTACACTATCATGGGATTTCCGTCATCCACGTGATCGCTGCAGGCTCAGAGTGACAGCAAGGTTTTTGGGCTTAAGTTTAGTTTGAATAGGGGATACGGGTTTCGATATATCATTACAATTAATTACTTGTCGCGCTCAAGTTGTCATGTTCAGATCATGATACTAGTAACTGTAGAAGTAATCCTCTAAAGGAATCAGTTCGGGCATCATTAGAAACCTCGAGAAGGGCATCGAAAGGAAAGCGTCACAAGTAATTCCGAACTCCCAAATGACACGAAACCGACCCCCCCCCTCTACACTTAAGCCCCAAAGCCCTGCTGTCCCAGCCCAGCACATTGACATGTACTTCCCAGTGAACTCCTAAACCCTCTCCCCCAAAACCCCAAAGCCCTGATGTACTTCCCAAATCTGAAATCAAAGTCAACTCCTAAACCCTCTCCCCCAAAACCCCAAAGCCCTGCTGTCCCAGCCCAGCACATTGACATGTACTTCCCAAATCTGAAATCAAAGTGAACTCCTAAACCCTCTCCCCCAAAACCCTAAAGCCCTGTCTGTGGTCTGTCGGAAGTACTGATTCTTCTTGTCGTGATGATTCCTGTGGTGGGTTTTCTGTGCATTTTTTCAACTGAGACCCTACAGATTCTAAACCCACACCCTAAACCGCAGCCTTTTATGCTGGTCAGCATCCTGAGCATCGCTAATTATTTTCATTTCCGGTTTTGGCTCATGAGTCGTCATCACGACCCTCCTACTGAAATAATTTTGATTATAGAATTCATGAGCACATCGCTCCGCCGGTTTGTTCCTGGAGCAGGGAAGGGAACGAGTTTAAGGTTTTTTCCTCGGAGACGTTTTGTTTGAGCCAGATTCTACACTGACAGTCCCTCAGGATGACGTCGTTCGGTTATGAGCTATCAATCATGACTTGTTCCGATTTCTTCCTTGATCCATCTTGGACCGTTGCTCGGTTATGAGCTATCAATCATGACTTGTTCCGATTTCTTCCTTGATCCATCTTGGACCGTTGCTCGGTTATGAGCTATCAATCATGACTTGTTCCGGTTTCTTCCTTGATCCATCTTGGACCATTGCTCGGTTATGAGCTATGATGATAGCGAACTAGCAACAAGAACCACAGGACCACACCCAAAAGCCAGAGGACCAGAACCAAGCAATTCGGCTTAAAAGAAATCTGGCTGGCTTGTCCTACCCACTCCCCACTGCAGACGGCCATGTATGCTTCGCGCTCTGCTCCGTCCTCATCCATGGGTGAAACTTCACCCTCCGGGGCTGTGCCCGGGCCGGCAGAGGAGGCGATGCGCGAAGCCCGCGGGTCTGTGCCCGGGATGTACACTGCACTCAAGGCATCTGTGTCCTCGATCTGGTGGGGCACTGTGGCCGCGTCGAACGCCAAGGGAAACACCCAAAGCGCGACGTACGCCCCATCCTCCGACGGTTCTTGCGTCGGGCATGCTTGCTCGGCTCCACCGGTTTCGGTGGGCAGCTTCTCGGAGTCTGACCCCGGCGGAAAGCATGCGCCTTCATACGTCCAGCTGGAGCCGTCGGCGGGATCCAGATGGGAAAACAAGTATCCTATGGGATCTATGTCCCGTAGCTTGCCCGTCGGCTTATACGAACGGCCTGTGTGGCGGGTGACCACTGTGCACTTTATGTTGTGCCGCTCGCTGAGTTCGTGGTGATTTTTATCACCAGCCCAGAAACGTCTCGGTGCATATGGACCGATCCAGCACGCTGGCGCCTGCTTCTCGCGCATGACCTCATATAGGTCAGTCAGCACACCATCAGGGAAGTCCTGAAACACGATGCGCCTGTTCCACCCGAAACCTGTGTCGGGGCTAAGTGCGATGGCACCAACGTCGATGGCCAGGATCTTCTCGTCGATTTCGACGAGCTTGCCTTGCCCTGGGGGCTTCGGAAACTGACGACGGAATTCTGCCCATTCCGCGTCGTTCCACTCGTCCGACGGCCTATCGCCGTGGAAATACCACCATGACTCTCTGGCCGTCATGGGGCGGTGAGGATTCTCACGCTCTGGAAACCTATTGTAACCAGCACTGCCTCGGAAGCGCGGTGGCTCCGGCGGCTCAGGCGGGCGCCTGCTGCCGAGGTTGGTCCTGGGTCCCGGTGGATCCCAGTCTCCCGCACCTGTGCCGTCGTCGTACTCGACCTCATCATACACGCTGTGCGGTGCCGCCTTGCCTTTGCCCTTGCCTTTGTCGGGCTCGACATCCACCTCCGGCCGTGCAGTGGGGCGAGGATTCGTGCGGTCACGCTCGGGAGCTGTGTCCCGGCCTGCAGCACGAATGCGTTCTGGCTCGGGAACTGTGTCCCGATCCGCACGGTCACCTGGGTCGCGGACGCGACCCCAACGGGAGGTGCGCTGGCGCGTCGGAGCCTCGGACCTATCCCGAGGTCTGGAGTCCATCCGCCGTCTCTCACGGGTACGGTCTCGGCGATGACCCCTGCTCGAGGAGGAACTATCCCTCCGCCTGCGACGCGATCGGGAGCGGCGAGTAAGCCTCTTGAGCTCCGCCTCGGCCCTATCGGCTCGAGTCTCCGCGTCTTCTGCCCTCTCACGCATGTCCTGCAGCCGATCATACGCATTATCGCGCTGCCGCTTCACGTTGCTGAGGGCTTCTCTCAAGTCACTTATAGTGCTTTCCTGGCAGCGATTCGCATCAGTGAGGTCGTGGACCTCAGCCTCGAGCTTGCGAATCCGAGCCGACGACCCTGTCGGCGTCGCTGCGCGGTCCTGTGCTCCACCGGACTTTGCCGGCGGCGGTGCTGGCGTAGCCTTCGGCCTCTCTATGGGGGCCGCTCCGCCCTTGGCTGACGCACCTACGCTAGAACTAGCAGGGTTAGGACCCGAGCTAAAAGTAACCGAAGGTAGGCGTCCTCCAGGGGCTGTGCCCTGTGCGCGGTTCATCGCCGCAGTGAGCGAGTTCGGGTCGTACTTTGCCACATACGATGTATGTGTCTTGCCGACCAGCCCCATGCGTTGTGCAGCCTGATACGCGGTTTCGCCTGCCATGGGAGGCCTATCAAGGGGGCCTACCCCTGTCACCGGTGCCGGTATGCGGCCCTCTGCAAGCATCTGCGCATGAAACCGCTCAGCATATGTAGGCTGATCATCGGGGCGTGCACACTGCGGCTCCACGACAAGGATGCACTCGTTATCCTCTGGTCCGTCTGTGCGGACAGCGTCGACGAAGCACCTCGTGAGCTCCTGGACCTCCTGGGCTATGCCAGGGGCGCGGTGCAAACACTTGGGACACTGTCCTTTGCACGCCTTGCTGCCCATGAAGGGCCAACTATTCGCTGCACTCATGTGAGTGAGGCTGACGGAGCAGTCTGGCACGAGCTCCAAAAGCGTTGCATGGGCAAGGATGCCCGCCGCAACAGATCTATGTCTGTTGGCTTTGCAAACCACATGCACGGCAATGGACCGAATCCCAGCGTCCTTAGCGTCAAGGACGTTCGCCACGATGTGCCTGACGTGGGCGATCAGGTTGGGGTGGTCCGCGTGCTCCCGAATTATATCGGGGTTCGACCCAACATGCTTTGTGCGGTCGCGCTGTTCGTCGTTGCGCTGTTGGGCTTCTGCTGGCGTCAGATCGTCTTTCCGATCGTCCCTAAGCCACACCATGTCCAACATCACTAGCATATAGCTAGTGGCACTCGCATACGTCGTGATCGCATGCGTTTCCATCTCTTCGTGCTGTGCGAAGAGCTCGGCCGCCGTCCACTTCCCTCTGACGCGTTGCAGCCAGGCATGGTGCTCATAGCCCCAGGTAAAAACATCAATAATGATGTCCGGGTTCGCTGTGTCCCCCGCATAGTATGGTAGCAAGGCCAAATCCGGATTATACACGGTTGCTGGGAGAGGAGTGTCGAGCTCCGGACCATGGGGTCCTCCACCTGCCATTATAACCAGGGGCCTGTTGTGCGGATCCTTCTTCACAACCGCATCGAACTCGGCAAGCTCGCGGTGCCCTCGCGCGATCTCCTTCGGGTGCACTGTGGCACGAGCTGCCGGCGGGTTCCCTGGGCTATCCCCAGGCCTTGCCTTCTCTGTGGGAGGCGCCTTCTTTGGCAAGCCGCTTCCTCCAGGCGGTGCCTTGGGCGCATGCGCGGGGAAGGCAGGCGTGATCACCGGTACGGCACTGTGGCCGACCGCAGGCGAAGTCGCCATGGCACTGTGGCCAGGCTCCGGCGCTGCTGAAATCTTCGGTGCAGCCTTTGCCGTCGGGGGCGCCTTCTTAGGCAGCTGCCCCTCCTCTGCGGCCATCGCGGCGGGCTCCGTGTCTCCTACGGACGTGCCTACCATACAATGATTCGGGAACGCTACGCTTATACGTCGCTTAGTGTTGTTGCGATTCTCAGCTGTCGTTGTGAAGCTGTGACCGTGGCCTACGCCTAAAGTGCTATGACCATGGCCTGCATCTACAGTACTGTGACTGCGACTTGTTGCCACTGCGTCATCTGCCGCTGTTGCATCTCGAGGGGTGCTCACAGACTCTGAGTGAGCTAAGGTGGCGGCGGCGGCAGACCTAAATATAGGAACTGGCGGTGAGGGAATTTGGAAGCTTCTTATGAGACGGGGTTGTTTCACCTGAACCAAACCTT